AGAAAATAAAGAATTTTTTAAAAATATTATAGGATTCTCTTAAATATTCCATGTGAAAATTTAAAATTTAAAATTATTTTTTAAAAAAGAAACTTTTTTTTTTAAACAATGTGCAAAAATGGGGCATGCATGCATTATTTCTTTGAAATGAGTCTAAAAACGGACCTCATGCAGTTTAGCATGGATCGGACAAGCATGATTTTAACATTAATTCTTTCCTACAGAAAAATAATGGCTTGAGGAAAAAGCTCATGCATTACTAAGTGTTGTAAATTATCAAAATATTTCATTACTGAAATTGGAAGTATATATATATATCTAGATTTTCATGCTAAGAATGAGAAAAAATAATATATATACTTTGCTCGTTTGGGTTGGGTTACATTTTGACCCGTGTTGACTCAATTGTTTGACGGATCATTTTGGGTTCAAACCCATTAATTCGATCAACTTAACCAACAGATCATAATCCAAATGAGTTACGTATGTTGGAATTGATTTTGTCACCCCTAATAGGTAATCTCATTGTTCAACGAATATGCATCATTTATCGTGTTTGAAGTAGAGGCGATTAGACATATTTCATTGATGAGTATTATGTCATGAGAAGATGTTTGGATATGACATTTTGAGAATAATGGAATGCACGAAACACTTCATGTTGGAACAATAAGCAGCCAACGCCAAATATATTTCTTTGTAAAAAAATTATGAGGCGGTGTTCATTCACTAAAAAACATGTTACTAAATGACATAAATCAAATCAGAATGAAATTAAATGTGTAACACATGCAGATGGTAGCTTTGATATTCATACTAGTTTTGTCGCAATGAAAATGTTGATATATATGCACTGCTAGAGGAGATCGATTTTATTGGTGGACAAGCAAGATTTTTAAATAACTCGTTATTTGTATAGATATTATTATTATAAGTGTTCGAGAAGCTCTCAGAGTAGCTTGCTAATGTATAGTCGTGTTGTAATTGAGACAAATATTCATCTAGTTCATCAGATCTTGAAGGAAACATTTAAAATAATTCTTATTTGGATTCTCTTGTTTATTATTGTAACACATTAATTAATGAAGGGTTTTTAACTATAGGGTTTGCTTATCTACTTTTAGAAAATAAAGTGTGCATGCTTTAACTAGGACTATTTTTCTATATATATCTGATTTGATGGAATGAGGGTCCATATATTATCATAATACCAGTATATTTTATTTCTGATGTACTTGCATATACCCATAGAGGGGTTGTGATAATCTGGATAAATTTTTTGTGCTCTTGATTTGAAATTTTACAAGAAAATACTATAAACGCTACCATTTAATGAGACATATATATACGACTCAAATTCAAATTCATTATAATTTTTCCAAAAACGATTACTTAATTAAATGGATCTACCATTTAATGAGACTAACACGACTCAAATCTAAATTCATCATGATCTAACCAAACGATTAGAGAATTAAATGACTACATAGACACCAGGTAGAAAACAAAAATACCAAAAAAACAAGAAAAGCACTAAAGCATAACCTATTTCAATTATGCTTTATACACTTCAGCATCTTCCAAGACATAATCCTAGAGGAAATCTTAGCAATAACACTCAATTTCAACTTCTTTTTTCTTCCTCCATCGACAATGTTCTTTTGTTTCTTTGAAGCATCAATAACCTCTTGATCAATTCTTGATGATGAAGTATGAGCAGATTGAACATTTCTTCTTATAGATCTATTATGATATGGAAATTTCATGAATTTTTTTTCAATCAAAGAGTATATTGAAACCAACTCATGAGAATCATACAAAGGGCTACCACAATCCCATGTCTTCATTTTTTCTTCTTCTTCACCTAATTCTTCTATTTCTCCTGTTTTCTTTTTCATGGCAACACCTGATTTTTTGTTTGAGGGAGTTTTTTCAGTATCACCATCCATGTTCACTGATTTTTTGTGTGACAAAACAAATGAATTTTGTCATATATTTATATAGGGAAGTCTATTGTTTGGATTTGATTAAAAGTTATTATTTGTCTTAACTTGGTGATTACATACCTAAATACAATGCTTTATATTGTGCTTAGTAGGATATTAGTCTTTTAATAGTAAGTTATATATGTACATTAATTAATTATATTGTAATGAATGTTTACTCTCTTCCAAAATAGTAGTCACATTTTCAACGGTCAAATTTTTGACTAACTTTCAACGCTAAATTAGATTACATTAAATATTTTTAAATAAAAATTTTAATATTTAAAAATTATATTAAAGTACTATAAATTTTTAATTTTTTAATTTTTTTTTTTAACTAAATAAATATTGTTCCTTAGATTGTACAAGGGACACGTAAGAATATCAAGACCAAACTTGGGAAAAAAAATATAAATCTTAAAATGTTAGTCAAAGTTTATATTGATTAATTTTAAAAAATAATCAATGACAAGTAAAAAAGAACGGAGTACTAAATTACTATAATAAGCTAAGATACATAGGGATGTTTAAAACCGAATCGAAAAAAAGTTATTGATTTATCAATAATGGGTTATTGGTTTAGCGGTTTTGATAACGGTTTTGATTTTTTTTGTTATCGGGCTATCGATTCTTAACGGTTTGAGGTTTTTTCTTAACGGGTTAACCATTAACCCAATAGTAAATTAAAATAATTATATTTATACCATTTTATATATAAAGTCCTTGACTTAGAATTTGGTTTCCTACTTTTATTTTTGATTATCTCAAACACTTGATTATTCTACAATATAAAAGTGTTTGTTTTTAGCAAGGTGTAACTTTTTTTTGCTTCAAAACAGAGTAATATATTGATTACTTAATATGCATCACTTGTTATCATCAAGTGGCAAAGCAGGACACCTACTATTGGTGTTCGAAGGAAGGGGCACATTACTGTTAGTACTATTACATATTTTACTTGCAAAAGATTTCTTAGATAGCCTAATAAAAGTAGTTTCTTCTTTGTCTGCTTCGAGTTTGTTGGAGACAAACATCAGAGGAACTTCCAAGCACAAAAAAGAGTTGATTTGATCCATTTTAGCAAGATGTAACTTGTGAACTCATGTGAAATGGTTCATTTGGTTTGTCATCTTGTTTCTAAGTGATTTTCAATTTTTTTTGTGTGTCAAATCTTAACGGTTAAACCGATAACTGAACCGATAACGATCGACAACCGATAAAACAATATCTTAATGATTCTATAACGGTTTAGTATCTCTACAAACCGATAACCAATCAGCCAAATCGATAAACTTCAAGAACCGAATCGACTGATACGCAGCCCTAATTAATATGTGTATGATTAAAATGAAAAGATAAAATGAAAAGATTATCTTTTTACTATTTGTTATCATTTTTTTTTTTTAATTACATCGAAGTATGACCAATAAAGTAAAAATTTAAATAGTCAACCATATGAACTACTAAAATCATCCTTAATTCACATTCTTATCTCCTTTTGCTATCACGTTCTTTTTCTCATTTGCCGGTTGATCTGGATTCTGGAATATTAACTATTTACTTTATAATATTTCAGCTTTTTACCTTCTTAGTAGTACTAATCTTTGCTTGTGCTATTTGCTTAAGTTTATTATCATTAGAGTCACATTTCTTTGCTCGATATATCATATATCGAACATCATTTATTTATTTTATTTCATCGTAATGCATACTCAATTAGAGCAAGAACTCCTTTTTCTATATACAATTTGTTTTTTCATCTTATTAAGGTTTCTTCCTTTTGGACACACATTTATATGGTTCTACCTCTTAAACAATGTAGGGATATACGCCAAATTTATGTACTTCCTTTATTAAATAGAGTACCAAAAAAACCATGTTTTAGTCTTTTCAATATTGTGAGAAATCAAATTGATAAAAGAGAATACTTTCTTACATTTTTCGAATTTCGAGATTCAAATAAATCTATCTTTGATCGTAAATTTTTCATATATCTTTTAAAATTTTGAATTTGTCAATTATCGTGACTTATAATACTTTTTACGTAGTTTACAAATACACAAACTTCATTTCAAAAAAATTGAACATTTCATGAGCTAATTCCTAGTCAAACTTAAGTTATTTGAAATTACTTAAGTAATGTTAAAAAAAAAAAACTTAAAATGCATACTGCATGTATTGTGAGACCTCATTTGAAGAGGCCCCTACGAATTGACTCACTTCCGTCAATTGGTTAGACACTTGACATCTCCATATCAAATTACCGACAGCTTAAACCAAATGTGGATCGCATTTTTTATTATTAATAAAAGAACCACTTTCCTGTCCCCTTTTAATTATCTGCCATTCCTTTTGTCCAACCAAGACATCTAGTGTTCATGCTCCCAATAATGTATGACACTTTTAACATGGGGAGCGCATTCGAATGGGCCCTGCAGTGCGTGATTCGGATTTATTTGGACATTGGGTGGGAAACAAGAAAAATTAAACATCAGACATTTTGTTCTAACATTGAAAAACCATTATATATCTGAAGTCTTCCCAAAATTACAATATCAGTTTAAAAAATTAAAGTCGGAAGTTGATCTTGGCAAATCAAACACACGATTCAATATCCAAATATATAAACTCGATTAGAAGCTCCATTATAAGTTATTGGATTGAGTGTTATTGCAAACGATGGAGAATATCCTTTGAAGTAGGTTAAGTGAAGATTAAAGTTGAAATCACAATTGAAACTGGAAGAGGAAGAACAATAAATTGTACTATCTTATTTGTATGTCCAATGCATCATGAATGAACATACAAAAATAACATTATGAGTACATATCTACAATAATGAGTACAAACTTCACATAAATATATGTATTTTCTTAAATACAGAATTTAGTAAACTTTTCAACAACTAACTTATTTTGTCATTCCTAATAACTGTGTATACATTTCTTTGTTAGTATCTTTTGGAATGATGCACAAAATAGAGACAAATAGCTATGAAAGATCCAAATTAAAGAGCAACAATTTTGTGCAATTATTAATGATACATCCAAGTTCAACATCAAGAGTAGGCAGTACTAAAATAGCTCTTGACAACATCATAACATAGTATCTGTAGCAGTCTGCTGTTGTTCTGACCAACACATCTTGGAGTCTTGAACTGGCTAACAGCACCTCCTAAGCCTACAAAATGATCTAATATCTTATGAAATGTCCCCTTCTTCACAACTCTAAGCTCAAGTGCTCCAATTACATTCACCTTCCGAGACCCCACGTACCCTGCATCTACAAACGATTTGTCCAAACAATTGCAGCATTCTTGCAGTGTTTCGTCACTCCCTTCACCACTGAGTTCCCAGAAAACCACGTAGTGTCCTGGATCAGTTGCAACGTTCCCGTGGCTTGTGAAATCGACTACCTCTAGTTTTTCGTCTACTAAGTGCCTGGCTGCTGCTTCTACAGCTAGCTGTAAGTCTTTCTCAGTGTTCTTGTCAATGTTTATGCTTAGCAAAAGATTGCTACGACAAATGAACTGGAGTTCTGGTGTGGCATTGTGGAATCCTTTTATTTTCACAACATCGCCGAGCCTGTAACGATACAACCCTGCATATTACATGTACAAACTTTGGCCATTACTTGAAAAATCAAGAATCTAAAGCCATGAAAAGTACTCTTAACTATTAAATTTTTTTGGCAAGTCTTCATGCGTATAGTAAAAAGTACTTAAAAGTTGAACATTTTATACTAAGTCACAACTCACAAGCACCATCATGTACAAAAGTATTATGGTTAATGGTCCTTCTTACCTACTGACACAAATTCCAATAATCCAGAGACCAGAAGTGTCAGGCTCAGGACAAATAATTGAATCAATGACTTAATGTTAATATGGTACTCCTACATGAACCAATAATGCATAATATATTCATGATGACAAATCATGTTTGCAACATAAATTCATATTGAAGTCACTGACAAAATAATAATAATTTTGGTCAAGAAAGTTGTACCTGCAAAGTTGGTGACAACAATTTCATACTCTTCATCTAGTTTAACTTCAGCAAGACCCACTGGTGTAGGCTCAAGGCCATCTAAATTTACCCTGAGAGGAATGAATTCGAAATAACCGATATTAGGAAGCACTGCATAAGTAACTAGCTCAGGAGGTAACTTAGGATTGACATTTGCACCAATCCATCCTTCAGAAGAACCATAATCTGCACTCAGTAGTGGTAGCTCCCCTGCATAATGCCTCAATTTCTTGAGGTAAGGTTCCATGGACCCCGTCATGATACCGTATATGTACCTGGCGTTTGGGAAGAGCACAGGAATCAAACCGTACCAATTGCTTAATCCAGAACACTTATTATAAATGGAATCAGCCTGTTCTGGATCAGGCTTCAGTAATTTCATAATTGCTGATCTCATGGAAGGGACCGTGACTCGGCTAGAGATGACTCCCTCTCTTATGTCTGCAACAAGTTCTTCCCAGACTAGTTCGAAAGTTCTAAAAGCATGGACAATGCTGTGGGCAAATGTAGAGGAGACAACTTGCACTTCATCGCGAAAAATGAGCCCACACAAGAGATGGCAGTACAAAGATTGGTGGAAATCAGGACCAAATATAACTTCATCAGGGCTACAACATGGGGTTTGCATTGCCGTCATTGTCTTCTTGAAATGCGCGTTACGATATACATTGGTAGTTGCAGTTCCAGCTGCCAAACCTCCCTTTGTCTTGAACTGCTTGCTGCTGTAAATGAACTGCAATGCCTTCCCATTCTCAATTGGGAATTCTCTGCAAAAATGACAATAATTGAAAATAAGAATATCTACAACAGAACTCAATTAATTACCAGTACTAACTATACTAATAGAAGAAAATAGTATGAGACAACCAATAAAAGAAAGCTGTGACATTTAAGTACTCCAGATGAGGTGAAAACCAAAATTAATTCATTTTCAAGAAGATGTTGAAGTATTGTGGCTTGAAGGTAAAAAACAAGAATAATGAACATTATCTTTTCCTGAATCGTCCCCACTTTTTCAGATAGTACAAAGGCACAAATATGGAAAAAGACAACACATATGCCAAAAATGACTTTGCAATTTGCAAAGCATTATTTTAAGATAATCCACCAAAACTCCATTACCTATTCCTAAAAGCAAAAGAAGTTTTGTATATCTGCATAGTGGATTCCATCAATTCATCATTGAAAGGTACAAACTTTGGCCTTCCCTGAGTAGTACCTGAACTGCAATCAAAACAAAATTTCCATCAACTTTCCAAGAAAATCTTTATACAAATACACCAAGAATCCTTCTTCTTTTTTTTGGATGGTAGGCCGTTTGTTTCCAATAGACCCTCGGCATAATTATAACGCGCACTTATTTCATACATAATTTTTTTTTTAAAAAAAAAGGTACCTTAATGAGATTGTTGTAATGGGTTTTCCAGTGAGAACAGGGGAAAGATCCCCATCAGCAATTCTTTGAATATAAGGCTCTAAATCTTTGTGAGTGACAAGAGGAACACAAGCCTTGAAAATCTCAGGATCAGTTCTTCCATTTAGACCCCATTGTTGTAGATACACAGTGCTTCCATTTTCTTCTAGTATCTTCTTAAGAGTTTCTTCTTGAACTTTCCCAGCTTCTTTGGTCAAAGCTTCAAATTCCTCAATCACTTCTTCTGGATCAAATTTCATCTCTGTCTTCTCCAACATCTGAAGTCATATAAGAATATTGTAAATTAAGCTACTTTTTAATCAATTAGAACATGTTTAAAACATATCAAGAACACTCGTAACTTAAGAGTAAATTAAATTAAAAGATGTCAGAGAAAAAGGGGAAATATAGAACAAAAATAAGTTCAAAGTTGAAGAGGATTGGTAAGTATGAAAAGGAGAAAGTTCATACACTGGTCCACTTGGTCAACTCTTACAACTTTGTCAAAAAACAAACACCCAAAAAAAATAAATTTCTATTCATAGATTTGATGCTCTGATCAAAGTTCCATGGAATCTTGAAATAGCTACAAAGACAACAAGATTCAAAATGAATTATAACATTTTGGGTACAGCAAATAATACCCTTTACTCCATAAAAAGAAGAATGAACCACGAGAATCACACCAACTCCAAAAAGTTGTTTCTTTTTTTCCTCAGAAAAGTCTTCAAAATATACAACATATTGAGAAAGAAGAAAAAAAAAGCATAAGTTAGTCGAATGGTAAACACCCTTAAGTCATTGAAGATTCAAGAAAGAAAAAGGGAAAAAAAAACAGCAAATTTTCCTTACAAGAACTCAAATTCGAACTAAAAAAGACTCTACCTTTGCAGACCAAAAAGCAAATACAATATGGGGATTTTCAAATACACAGTACCTGTAATATGCACAGTGGCTAGAAAGGAAAAAAAGGCAGCTCAAAATTAGTGTAACTGTCTATTGGTTAAGGTATTATCATCAATCACTATATAACAAGACTTTTAGAAAGTATTAAACAGTAGTGTGATTTTTTTTTCTCTCTCTAGAAATGATGCATAGAAACAAATGACTTTTTTTTTTGTGAAAATTTTTTGGACTAAGGAAAATATATAGAGAGAGAGAAGTACACGTACCATTAAATAGATCGTTTGGTACGATGGGATAAGCCGGAATATTCCATCTTATCTCATCGACTATAAAATTATTTTATTTAATTTTTCAAATGAAATAAATTGATCTAAACATTTTACTCTTAAAAATTATTTTTAAAATAATTTAATTCGCGAACGAAATGAACTTCTATAAGAATTGGTGGTAGTAATAAGGACGATCTATTACCTGTTTTTTGGTCTTTTCCTTGTCCTAGACACCAAGTTGGGATAGAACATACCAAGTTTGAGTTATTGGATGAAATTGTGAAATAAGATAAATTATGCGCTGCAACATGTAAAATTTATTTGTATTGAATGTAAATAATTTACACTCGATTTAACTTGGTAATAACAAGTGAGATTTTTAATTGTTAATGTAATATTTATATTATAAGTCAGTTAAGGGGTTGTTTGGTAAGGTATATAAAAATTGTGATGAATGAAATGTATTAATAGTGCTGACATTAGTTATGAATAAATTATTTTATACACCGTTTGATTTGATATATTAAAAATAACATTCACATAAAGTTAAGCATAAATAAGGGGATAAAGCACCTACTTGTGATCAACATTTTTATTTATTCTTTTTTTAATTTTTCAAACTTCATTTCCTACATAACAGAGTTTCAGTACAGCTTTTACACAAATATTATATAGTACTCCACTGTATTTAAAAGGCTAGTAAATTGACATGTTTAACCTGCAAACCCACGTACAAAACCAGCTAGATGGTTCAACGGTAAAGTTTGATTACAAAAGAACTTATGTTGCCTAAGCTGTGTGGATTTAAATATAAGTTATGTTGAGATAAGTTATACTGAAATTAGTTATTTTGACATTATTTTTTATTGATTGCTTAGTTTGTTGTACTAAAAATAATAACCATTGCATACCTCCTAAAAATAAGTGATTTGATTACAAAAATATCCTCTTATTTAGCTTTTTTATATATATATTGGTAGAGTTTTAATTATTCATTCTTAAAAACAAAACATCCACCTTATTTAGCTAAATTATTTTCATGTATGAATTCCCTTAAATTCCTATTGTTAATTAGGCTTTAATTAGTGGTCATTGCACTAGAATTAGCAGCCTCATTCCAAATACTAGCAAGAAGCATTGGAAGAAAGCAAACACTAGAACTATGTCTAAGACGTGGAGGACTAAATATATATTTATATAATAAAAATAATTGAAACCTAAGTGTAGACAATAAAATTTGCGCTGAGAAAACAATAATCAACAACGGAAAATTATGCAACAATCGTTTTATTAATTTAAGTGCGAGTGTTACAATCTCTATAATTCATCTGAATTCGTCTTTTCAAATATAATTCAAGGGCTCTTGAGCTTGATCTTGAACTTGGGATTTATCTCTATCTTGATCTTGAACTTTATATTGATCTTCAACTTTATCTTGATCTTGGACTTGAACTTTTATCTTGATCTTGACTTTCTAGTTGAATTCAAGGGCTTCGAGCTTGATCTTGAATCCGGCAGTCTTGATCTTGATCGTTCTTGAATTTGATCTTGACTTCTTCAATTCATGAACTTGTAGAGAAATTGCAGCTTTTGATCCACGAGCTTTCTCTAGCTTTTTGTTTGAATTCTTGGTCCTCTTTTCTAAATTATGAAAGACCTCTATTTATAGTTTTAGAATAGGGGAGTTGTGATTGGAATAGGACTCCCTTTGGCCAATCAGATTTAAGTGACATGTCATATGAGTTTTATGGAGCGGGCTTTAATTAAATTCATATTTATTGAATTTAAAAAATTAACTCAATTATATCAATCCATAATATTTGTTTGGACTAATAATTTAATGAATTTAATATAATCTGAATCATTTTATAAATTTATATTTAAGAAAGTTTAAATGATTACAAATGTCCTTGCTTCAAGTCTTGTCGAGATATTTTATCTTTTGAAGACTAGACTTGAAGTATTAATTAAATAGTAATTTTTCTTTACCATACCCATGCAGTGTTCTAATTTATTGTCCGACTCCAATATATGTAATTGGAGTGGGCATGTGACCCCTTTAATCTTACGTGGCAAACATGCCACTAGCAATAGGAAAACCAATTCGGTCAGGAGAGTATTTATTTCAATTACTTTAGCATAGCCAAAAAAAAAAAAGGAATTGCTATTAGTCTAGGAGAAGGACGCGTGTCACGTTGTCGTGGCAGGTGAGCATATTAAATATGCATCTTATATTATGATGCAAATTTTATCCCAAATTGGAGTTGTAGTATGATAAAACCACCGCCTCAAAATCTTAGTTTATGACGCCATTTAAGTTCAAATTGTAGTTGAACTAGGAATTGTAGTCCCATATAATTTTAAATTCATGTCCTTTTTTATTGTCCTAGTAAAAAAGGAATTGTAATTGAACTAGGAGAAGGATTTTATTTCCACCACATGATATTTATAAATAGATACATTGTATCCACAATTTTGTCTTCAATTACAGATCGTGAGCTACAAGCCTATGACAAAAGGAGCATAATTCAAGGTAATTTTCCTCCCTTTTCTGATTTTCATTATTATTTTTATTTACAGCTTGACACATCTGTCGTAAAAAAATCTTATCTCATTGTAGAAAAATCGAAATGATGAACCGTTTGATTTTCCAGAAACTAGACTTCTCGATCTCTAACATATCCAAAATTCATAATTTAATACCTTCAAATCTTTTTAGATGATTTTTTGAAGTTAGCTCTGGATTCTGCCATGCTGAAAATTTCAGGGTTGTGCGGCTTTACTAAAACTCTCGTGTCTTGGTGTAGGAACGACGAAATCACAAGCCGCTTGATTATTTCGAATCTAGACACAAAGGTCTACAACATATCCGAAATTCAAGATTTAATACCTTCAGAATCTTTCTAGATGATTTTTTGAAGTTAACTTTAAATTCTGTCATACTGAAAATTTCAGATTTGTGTGGCTTTACTAAAACTCTTGTGTCTTGATGTAGGAAGGGTTAGCGTTGAAGCTAGAGCAGCCAATGCATCAGCTTTCTTATTCTCCGTTCTATGCACAAGTTGAAGGGTTACGTCTCCAATCCATCATATCAACTTTAGAGCATAATCATGGTAAGGACGCAATTCGGGTTTCTTCACCTCATAACTTCCCAAGAGTTAGTTGATCACCAATTGAGAGTCACAAAAGACTTGTAAGTTTAATTGCTTCATGTCAACGGCCATCTCAAGTCCAAGTATCAACGCCTGGTATTCAGCAACATTACTTCAAAGTAAAGGAGAATGGTAGGATCTCTTCTTGTGAAGTGATGGACACTACGCCAACACCAGCTCCAGCTCCGCCACGATGTGCAGCTCCATCAAAGTACATTTTCCAAGGAGGTTGAACTTCAATTAACATCACATCTTCATCAGGAAGCTCATCAGTTAATTCCCAATCACCTGGTATCGGATGGTTTGCCAAGAAATCCGCCAATGTTTGTCCTTTCACAGCTTTTTGAGGGATGTACACGATCTCAAACTGTTGAAATTGGAGGTACCATCTTGTTAGTCGGTCACTAAGGACAGATTTCGACATAACAAACTTGATGGGATTTGCTCTAGAAATAAGACGAACAACATAGGCTTGAAAATAATGTTTCATCTTTTGAATTGAGAAGACTAGCGCCAAGCACAATTTTTCAATTGGCGAATAGTTCAGCTCATTTGGTGTGATCGTTCTACTCAAGTAGTAAAGAGAGTTTTCTTTGCCTTCATCATTCTCTTGAGCTAACAGGTCTCCTACGAATCTTTCTTGTGCTGCAATGTACAATATCAATGGCTTTCCAAGTATAAGGGCTACTAAAACTGGAGGTTTCACTAGATACGACTTGATACTTTTAAAAACATCGCTACATGTTTCGTCCCAATTAAAAGGAGCACCTTTTTTCATGAGATGACCGAATGGTTGGCATAGTCCTGCTAGATTTGAGATGAACCTCCTCAAATAGGCTAGCTTTCCTTGGAGACTTTTTAACTCATAAATATTTCGAGGCTCAGGCATCTTCGATATTGCATCAACTTTGGCTTGATCTATTTTAATTCTTCGATGTCTCACAATGAAGCCAAGGAACTTTCTAGAAGTAACTCCGAAGGCA